TCAAACTGGGTTAGAACCATCTGATGGAAAGCCTGGGTCAGAGAAGGGACCTCATCTCAAGAGTGCATAAGGTAAACCCATGAGAAATGGGTATAATCATCAACAAATAACAAGAAATATTTGTACCTCCCCATGGTGGGAGTATGATATGGCCCCCAAACATCGGTATGCATAATTTCAAAAGGAAGGTTGCTTCTTTTATTACTTAAAGGACAAGACGATCTACTATGTTTTGCGAGCTCACAACCTTCATACTTCAAACTAGACACTTCGATTGACTCAAAATAAGTTTAGAAAAACTCTTCAAAGACCTAAAAGACAAGTGACCTAAGCGGTTATGCCAAAGCATAATCTTACTCCAAGACTGAGAGAAAAACAATTTCCCCACTTCACTCTGCTTCCCCTGTGAATGTTCAAGCAGGTAGACTCCATTCATCTCCCAGCCAATCCCAATCACCTTCTTCGTTTCCAGATCCTGAAAAACACACCGATCAGGGAAAAAGGTTACTGAACAGTTTTGATTTTTAGTAATACTACTAACTAAAAGCAAGTTAGCACTAAGCTTGGGGACATGTAAAACTGAGGATAAGGTGATGGCATCAGACAATCTGATGTCTCCCTTGCCAGAAATTGGCACAAGGGAGCCATCAACAATAGAAACTATTTCTCCTAGAGGATAAACAATAGGTGCTAAATAAAGTAGATAAGTTGGTCATATGGTTTGAAGCACCTGAATCTATTACCCATAAAGGTCTATTGTTACGTGGGACACAAGCATGACATGCGGTAGCTCTTGTACCTGTATGAGCAAGGGCTGAAGTAGGATGAGCAGGTGTGGTAGCTAAAGACTGAGATGTAGATCCAGAAATACCAGCTTCATTCTCTAGCTGTGTCAGTGCAGCCCAGACAACTGCTAAGGCATCCAAAGATGTGGTCCTTGTGTTGGAGGAAGATGCACTGTCAATAGTAGTTGTTACATTAGCACTCCCCTTCTTGTTTCTAAGTCTAGCTGGCATTAGGTGAGGATGCAACTTCCAACAGGTGTCCCTAGTGTGCTTGGGCTTCTTGCAATGATCACAAAAAATATCTCTTTTGTCCTCCTTCTTAACTTCCCTTTCCTTCTCCCCTCCAACCTTAAATTTTGTTGCTGCCAAGGCTGCTTCTGTGGGCTGAAAAGATAGCATTACCTTCCTCCTACTCTCTTCATTGTGGACTAATGAGTAGGCCTGAGATAGAGCCACACTCTCCCTAGTGAGAGGTTGTTGTCTTGTAATATCAAAATCTGAGTTTAGACCGGCTAAGAACTCAAAAACCCTATTTGTTTCAATCAGTTTTCTATATGTTGCTGCATCCCTCTGGCTTTCCCATTCAATAGTTTCCAAGTGAACAATTTCATGCCAAAGGGATTTCAGAGTAGCAAAATACATTAAGACTGGCTTCTCCCCTTGCTTGAGGTTTTTTACCTCACACTTCAGCTCATAAGCTCTAGCAACATTGAGGGGTTGGGAATAGGTCTCCTTCATGCTGTCCCAAATCTCCTTGGTTGTTTTTGCCCAGAGATAGTTTCGGCTGATGTGGGGCTGCATAGAATTACATAGCCAAGTCATTACTAAGTAATTCTCTTGAACCCATTTCGGATGTGGTGTATCTTCCTCTGCTGGCTTCTTTGTATCCCCCCAGTCACATAACCCAATTTACCTCTTCTTCCAATGGCCATCATTGCTGATTGGACCCACTCCAAGTAATTGTTTCCACCAAATCTAACAGTGGGTAATCTGAAAAGAGTTTTCAGTCATGTTACCAGCTCCAAAAAATCCTTCCCCTTGTGTTTTTAACTCACTTTCAAACTTCTCCATTCCAAGAGAGCACTAATAAGCTAAAAATCCAAGAAGAAGACCTAAAAAAGGATATATATTTTTTTTCTGCAACACTAAAAATTAGAGAAAACAATCCCAGAATTTAATTTCTGCAAATAAATCCCTTCCAAGAGAGCAAACATAGTCAAAGAGTCAACTCCTAGTAGACAATAATCAGTCCAATAATCACAGTTTGGTTTTTAGCCGCACCCTCCAAGAAACAGTCCAATAATCACAGTCAAAGAATTCCCAATCCAAAAAACAGTTCGTAGGGTTAAGAATAAACCCTAGAAAATTCATTTTTTTTTTCTCACAAGAAAAGGCCTTAGTCTAAAAACAGTTCATAGGGTTAATAATAAACCCTAGAAAACTCAGTTTTTTCTCAGCTGCACCTTCTAGATAAATCTAACTTATCTCTTACTGCTGTTGGCCTCAAGAATAGGTGAAAGATTTACCCAGAAATCTGATTCTTGATAAAAAACTCTGATCGCCACCTTCAATTCTTGATAAAAAATCAATCTTGATCCCTTTACCTTCTCTGGTTCTTCCTTATTACCAAAAGAAACTCTCCAATCTTTGAACAGTTGCTAAAGATCTCAGGTAACCTCCAAGAATCAGGCAAAAGAAAGCTCCTTTCTAATCTTCCAGCCCTAGGTAATTCTATGTGGTTGGCTGGGTTAGACTCACATGAGAAGCCCTAGATCGTGCTCTGATACCAACCTGAATAAACAAAAAGATGCTGCAGTGGTTGATGAAAAGAAAACAGGTTCGAAAAGAAGAAGAAAGAGAGAGAAATAAGAGAGAAAATGAGAGGGAAGAGAGAAGAAAGAAGGGGTTCGGTTGTTATTTCTGTCACCACATAAATTTCATAATATAGTTTAGTTTCCTTACAAGAATAGGAGATAAAAAAAGGAAAATTCTAATGCTATCTAGAATAGAAGAAATCATAACTAGGATAAGGCCATCTTGCCCAACTGAAAAAGGATTAAAAGAAAATAACTAAGTGTGGGTATGGAACCACACGCACTAGAACCTAAGTGTGGGTATGGAACCTCACACTCGTGGCTACTAACTATTTCTACAATATTCTTAACAGAAAGGATTACTATTGCTTCCTTTAGGATAATCTTGTAGGCCCAAGGATTGACAAAGATAAGAAAAATATCAGAAAATAAGTTTCAAAAGACATGCTTTCAAGAAAGAAGAATTTTAAGCAATAAATAAAAATAAATCAACAAATTTCAAAACTACTTAAAGAACTAGCAAGGATCAAGCAAGCTCACAAGAAAAGAAATAATAATTCAGTGAAGTTAGATTGAGAATGAAAATAGAAGAGAAAGGTTAAATGTTATCCATGAAGAAGAGAGAATAGCAAAAAAAAATAAAAAAGACTATTGCTTCAACTAAAAAAGGCCAATACCCAATTTTGGTCTCAGCTATTTGGGGTCTTGGGAGGGTTAGACTGGGTAAGGACCATAGGATCATAACATTTGCCTATTTATGTTTTGCACAAAGTGGTCACCCTCAAACTCAAACCTGTGTTTTCACCTTTGCTTGCATGGGATTTTACCATCATACCAAGTAATGGCCCCTACATTGCTTCAACTGATCATTCAAATTTCTATTGCCTTACAATAGTTACTTGTAACAAAAGAAGAGGGTTCACGAGCCCTCGGACACCTTTTTTAAACCTACTACAACTTTTAGGAAAGAAGAAAACTTTTAGAGAATAAAAACCTATTCAGGGACCTCATCTCACAGCTTAAGCTTTTAGGTTGAACGGTTCCTTAAGAAAGTTGGGTGGCAGATAGAGGTATTCTCTTCTGACTGAACCTAGTTCTCTCCTCTCCTTTTCTTCTCTTCTCTTCTCTTCTCATTATTTCTGGTTTCTTTTATTTTTCTCCTGTACTTAAATTGATTCCAGGTTGTTCTCATGGTATCAGAGCCTGTTTGACCAAGTGGTCTAGTGTTTGATCCTCATCACCCCCATTATAATTAATTAATATTCAGCACAATATATGAGAGGGTCTGTGCTTGTCCATGCTTCAAGCCCAATGGAATTTCACGTGAAGGGGCATGTTAGAGAATAAAAACCTATTTGGGGGCGTCACCTAACAGCTTAAGCTTTTAGGTTGAATGGTTTCCTTGAGAAAAACTATCAGCTAATTTATAATAAGTGGATTCTACAAGATGAACAAGAAAACCTTGAAATCCCATCAATACCAAAATAAATATAGAAGTAGCCCAAAACTCAAAAAATGGCTTTTATTTGGAAGGAATTACAAATTTGTTACTGAAATATGAGATATAAGGATATTTCAATTTTCTCCCACATAATGAATGATTTTATTCAGCTGATTGAACTTAACCCCTTATGTAGGCATGTTTCAGAGGCTGGTTGAGGTGGCTGGCTCTACTGGAAGATTTGGGCCACACTTCCTGTTTTTGCCTTTGTTCTCTTAGATCTCTTTCGTTGAAAAAGAAAGAAGAAAAAAAATTCCTTTATTCCTTCTGCAATGTATGATGGAAGTCAAATTGATAGGATTCCATCTTGTGACCAAAATCAAGATGAATGGATGGTTCAAATTTGGAGAGTGTTGGGTTATCACCTTCTTGGGTTCTTCATTGTAGTTTTGTTTGACAATTCTAAGATATTTTACAGAAAAAGAACTATTTAATTGGTAATTTTCTTAAATAGGACCTCTGGTGGAACTGATCTGATTCAAATTTAGGTGAGGAGCTGTCTCTCACACTCTTGTGCATCATTTATATGGCATATTGGATTCACAAGTTAGTCATATTGACCTAAGTATTTCATTTAACAAATTCTTACCATGAAAGTATTGCAGTTTCTACTTGATGAAATCTAGTATTTTTAAGCCACACTTTTATAGCAATCACTTTATAATACATGGTTTCCTTCTGGGTTCACAATTTTTTCTGCCTTCTTTCTTTTCTTCATTGCTGTTATCTTTCTATTCTTTTATTTTAGTTGCACACTTGGAACCTCTGGATATTGGCCTTTGTAGTGATACTAAGTTTAACTATCACAAGGTGTTTAAACTTTATGGACTTCTGAGCCAAAATTTTCAATCCTAATTGTTTGTATAACTTCTGTGCAAATGTGCTTGATATTATAACCAGAGGACCACGATGGGCAAGTGTCAACCTTGGAATTTTTATTTGCATACAATGTTCAGGCATACATCGGAGTCTTGGAGTGCACATATCAAAGGTATTCATTGTTCCATTGTTTATACCTTGATCACAATTATTAGTTTTTTTAACATAATAAAATCATGGCTTTAGATGCTGATTACATTATGAAAATACTGACAATATGTTGYTGATTTCTTCTCTTTTGTTTTCTTTCTTTGTTTTATTGAAGGTGGTGGAGGGTTTCAATATTCTTGACACAATTTATTTGTGGACAGAATACAAAATTTTCTTCATATCATATTTCCAAAACTATGCTGGTTCACTAATGTTTTCTTTCTTACACATTAATTCTAAACCAAGAAATAGCATCTAAACATCTTACTGACAAAAAAAAAAGAATTTTCTCATTATGACTACCATAGCCCCCAACCTTTTCCTGCTTTATTGTAGTGTTATCCAAATATGTATGGCTGACTTTGTTTCTAAGCTAGGGTGTAGGCTGAAGAATCCAAATGATTTGAAAGTGTTAAACAACATAAATAGCTCTGCTACCATGTCAACTAACATAAAATAGAATAGCAAATCAAGGAGAAAACAAGAAGAAATAGAGAAACACCAAGATTTAATGTGGTTTGTCTTGGATAGCCTACATCTACGGGAGGAGAAGAAAAATATCCACTATGAGAACAAGAGATACAACTCTCTCTCTCTCTCTCAGCCACACTCTTCCCCACTCCTCCTCAAACCCTAATCTCACACAACCATTGGTTTAAAGAAGCAACAAATGGAAATGTATTAGAATTACACTGAAGCACCCTGTATTTAACTGTAATATGTTAATAGCACGGCTTTCAACACACATATGTCAACTACAATCTTTCTTTGGTGTGAGCAAAGCTAGTACAACACATGGGCTTAAGCTTTCACGGATCAGCCCCTGCTTCAACAACTCTGCTACTTGTCTTTGGAGCTCCTCATGCTCCTTAGGGCTCATGCTCCTTAGGGCTCATTCTATAGTAGGGTAAGTTAGGCAATGTTGCTCCCAACATTAAATCTATATGATGTTGTACATCTCTTAGTGGAGGAAGGCCATTGGGTAATTCCTCAAGCATCACATCAGCATACTCATGAAGTAGCTTCTTCACCATCTCTGGAATGGGTGTTTTGTTTGCTATCTTCTTTTGAAGAGAGTACTGGCTGGCTTAGTTTCCTTCTTTGGAAATGAATCAAGTTGCATTGATTATCTTCTTATTGTCTTTCACAAAGTTGTATGTGTTATTGTCCCCATAATGAATGGTCTTATGGTCATATTTCCATGGGCATCCCAAAAGAATATGGCATGCATCCATTGGGACAATATCACACCATACTAATTCTTCAAATGTATTATCAATAGAGAAATTAATTAAGCATTTAGTAGAAACTCTTACCTCATTTCCTTTGCTGAACCACAAAAGGAATATGGTCGGGGTGTTGAATAGTCTTGAGTTGAAACTTGTCCGCCATCTCTTGAGAAACAAGATTCTCACTACTCCTGTTGTGAATAATCAGGTTACACAACTTCCCACCATCACGTGTTCTAAATATATTCTTTCTCAACCAGTCCCCTGGTAGCAATTCTAAAGGTGCAACCATGGAGTGCCGTGCCGTATCATTAGAGCTTCACCCTCAATGTCCCCATCCAAGTTTTTTTCCTCTAAAGCATTAGCTTCAGTAGTTTCAACCACTTGTCCATCCTCAACATGACCTATATCATCTTGCTGTGTTCATTAATGACTTCATCAACCAGGTGTGTTTGCCCTTCAATCCTTCTCTTAGGAGATTCATTGGAACGATGTCCCAACTCCATACACTTGAAACATCTAATAGTAGGCTGCCTTTGATTTCTCCTTGTTGCATCTAAGAGCCCATGGATTGTAGGTCGTGTTTGGTTGATCCCATGACCCCTACCAGCCCCAACACTTCGACTTATTGATGAAGATGTATCTTGGACAGCACTTAGTTTCCGCCTTGAGCTCCGACCCAATTGATCTTCAACCTTTAGAGCTAGCTGATATGCATCATTTACCTTATACGGACAATGCAGACTGACTTGATCTTGTATTGGCAACCTCAAACCATTGATATATCTACTAACTTTTTGCTATTCAGTTTCTGTCATATTACTCTAAAGAGTTAATCTATTAAACTCTTTTATGTACTCCTTTACACTCTTTTCCCATGACCTTAAATTTTGCACCTTTTGGTAAAGAGTTTGCTCATAATCTAGTGGTAAGAATTGTGATTTCAGCTTTTCTTTCATTCTTCTTGTAGAGATACTGGGTCGAATGGGCCCTAGTATTTGTTTTTATGTTTAAGTAGTGTGTTTTTTTTTTTTTTTGTATGTTAATGGGCCTGTTAACCTCTTTTATAAGTTCTTTTAAGTTCTTACTTAGTTGGCTGCCCATTTAAGGGCAGACTTGTAATTAACCTAGTTAATGAAGATTAATAAAAGAATTAGTGTGGGGAGAGAGGAGATCATTTGAAATCCTCCTTCTTTCTCCCTTCTTCTCCATCCTTTTCTTTTTCTTCTTTTCTCCTATAATTTGAAATATTTTACTGTTCTTTTATTGGACTGAATAACATCTTGGTATCAGAGCAGGTCTTCCTCCTCTTTTGGTTTTCTTTTCTTTTCTCATACACCCTTCAATTAGAAGAGTATATGGAGAGATAAGTTGTTGATTATTCAGAGAACTTTTTTGCCTAGTTGGTAAAGGGTTTGGAGAGTCAGAATTTGGCTATCGATTGCCAAGAAAGTGGGGCTATTGATTTTTTGCCAAAAGCCCTAGTCGACTAGAGAGTTTCCAGTTGTAGGATAGAGATACTGTTTGGTTGTGGCGCTCAAGGCTTGGAGGACTCCTTTTGACCTCTAGAAGTGAGTGGTTGCAATTGGAAGAGGTTTGGGAAGCTTTGGTAGGAGCGATTGCTTCTTCTCTCTTTCTCCCCAGAAGACGGATGTAGTGAAACCCTAGTTTTGGGTCCTTTAGGTGTTGAACTGACCGTAGTTAGGTTTATAAAGATTGAAAACATTGTTTTTTTATTTTTGTTTGGTCAACGAAGCAATTTGGAAGTGAGATGAAGCAGATCTCGATGCCAAAGGTTGGTCCAATAGATTCCCTTTTGATAAGAGTGACTACAATCAAACTGGATGGAACCAATTATTTGGCCTAGGCACAACCTATAAAGGTTTATGTCTATAGTAGAGGTAAACTGGGGTTTCTCACGAGTAGTGAGGAGAAACTAACAGAGACTGATCCTACATATGAGAAGTGGATGCAAGAGAACTACATAGTGATTGGATGGTTAGTTAATTCTATGCAGCCTCACATAAATCAACATTATCTTTGGATGACTTCGGCTAAGGAGATTTGGGATAGTGTTACAAAAACGTATTCTCAGAAATTGAATGTTGCAAGGGCCTACAAACTGAAGAATGAATTTAAAAATTTGAAATAGGGGGAGAAGAGTGTAGCTTTCTAATACTTAATGTTGAAGTCCCTATGGAAGGAGATTGATGTTATGGAAACAGTGGTATGGGAGAGCACCGAGTGAAGGGATGAGAGATCCATCGTATGGACGCCCAAAGATTGCGGAATAAGGGGGCAAATTTCAAAAAAAATTTTCTCTCCCTTCAACTGGGAATCACATTCCCTATTTAGAAAATCATATTTTCAATGATCATTCATGAACCATAAATTGAACCAGATCTGAACCAAAAGGAGTAGGGGAGGATTATACCTGATACGGAGAAACAGTATCCCCCAACGAAGGTGTTCACGCCCAAGGAAGGATCCAAAGACTGCTCCCACTGAAGATGGCGTAGTG